TGAAGGGTCCTGGGTTCGATTCTGATCAGGGACACATGCCAGGGTTGCTGTCTTGATCCCCAGTGGGGGGCAGGCAGGAGGCAGCTAATCAATGATTCTCTCTCATCATTGATGTATCTATCTCTTCTTCTCCTTCTCCCTTCCTCTCTGAAATTAATAAAAATATATTTTTTAAAAATCCTCAATGCTCTCTCAGATTATTTGATTTATATTCTAACATGGCAGCAGGGCCATTGGCCCTGTTCCCTGTGGCATGGATTCTATTGCAGATTCTCCTTATCTGCAATAAAAATAAAAAAAAACTATGCAAAAAAAGGGGGGAGGGCAGTGATGGGACAAAGCTGCTGGTCAGCTGCTCTCTCACATCCAGCCCTCTCTCCCAGGTTATTGGCATCCTGAGGTTTGTAGGGCAGCAGCACTCTGCCTAGAGTAAGCTCCGGGCATCAAAATTGATCATGTTGTATTTTTTAGTTAGAAATGGTGTCTGTTATCTTTTGTGGATGAGAACACGTTGGTCATACACACATTGACTCTGGGAGAGATGCAGTGGAAGGTTTTCTGAACATCACCTTTTTATTCTTGCAATTTCCACATTGGATGATTAAACGGCAAAGCTTATTGAATCATAAAAGATGAGACGGATAAAACGAGGATGAGATTACTGAGGGTCCCATGTATTGTGTATCTGTTAGAGCCAGAGACAAACCTGGGCAGGTTACATGCATAAAACTTGTCTTTACAAGTATGTGTTCTCAATATAGCAGGGGAAATTTTGTAAAGTAGTCCTATCATTTCTGCCTTTGATCTGTTTGTATGTATACTGATTTTCTTATCCCTAATTTATATCGTATTCAGGAAGATAAAAGTGTTTTTTTTCTAGGTTTCTTATTGTGATCAAATATACATAATATGATATTTACCACCTTAGCATTCGGAAATGTACAATTCAGTGGCGTTAAATATTTTCATAATGTTGTGTAACTATCACCACATCTACACCCCCAACTTTTTTTTATCATCCCCAACAAAAACTCCATACCAATTAAACAATAACTCTTTTCTTCCCTACCTCCGGCCCCTCGTAATCTCTATTTTACTTTGTCTTTATGAATTTGCCTATTCTAGGTTCCTCATATAAGTGGACTCATATAATATTTGTTCCTCTGTTTCTGGACTATTTCACTAAGCATAATGTTTTTAAAGTCCATCCATATTGAAGCATGTATCAGAATTTCATTCCTTTTTTAAGGTTTAGTAATATTTCATTGTATGCAAATACCATATTTTGTTTATCCATTCATCTGTTGATGGACACTTGGGTTGTTTTCATTTCTTGGTCATTATGAATAATGCTGCTATAAACATTAGTATACATACATCTGTTCGAGTGTCTTAATTATTTTGGGTATATATTTAGAAGTGGAATTACTGGGTTCTGTGTTTTTAAAAGTAGGCTTTTCCCCCTTAGTTCTAACTTTTGTAGCAACACCAAGGCTTAATAATGTAATAGAATGCCTGTGCGTTGGGTTGACCAAAATGAGTTTAACTAAAGGGTAGAGCTCCTCTTTGAGTGTTACTTGTACCTGTATTGAAGAACAGTTTCTTTGGGAAAATAAATCTATCTGAAAATTTCTTATTGATTTTTTTGTCACCTGGGGAAATTTTCTCAAACTTGCTGATGAGATTAGTTTGTACATTGTTCATAGTATGGTTGCTCTTATTTCTGAAAGAATTGCATTTCCAATTACTTTGTTTGGTTCTTTTGCTTTTTACCTTACACATCTCTAATCTTTTTAAAAGCTTTAGCAGAATACTGTTTGGAGAATAGGATGTCTTTAGGTTTATAAAGTGGTGCAGCTCTTAAATATCATCACATGTGGCAAATTGGCAAATCACTAATATCACCACAATTTGCAAGTGGTTTACATTTGAAGAACTGTGACCAGCTAGAACAAGAATGAACAGTGCATAGCAGGGAAACATTTCAGTCATTCAAATGATTAAATCTTGGTTATGCTGTTTCATCACAAAGTACCAATACTGCCTTGGGATAAGATTAGTCGTCCTGTGTTAACTTTTAGTAAAAAAAAAAAATGAGAAAAGTGACCCTTCCAACATGCTAATAGAATTCAACTTTAATTTCCCATTTCAGCTATCCCCTGAGAACTAAATTACTGTTGGAATCTGAATCAAGTTTGATCTTTCTTTCTCCACATGACAGCCCAGAGATTAATATATGCCACACATGCAGAGAGAGGGAGAGGGAGAGAGAGAGGGAAAGGGAGAGAGAGAGAGAGAGAGAGAGAGAGAGAGAGAGAGAGAGAAAGGAAAAGAACACATCTATTTTGTTGGTGGTGATGAAAGACAGAATATTTGATATTTTGCATTGTACTTTTCTCCTCTCTCCCTCTTTTTCTCATCCCCACAACCCCATAAATGCTACTATTTTCAACTCTAAACTAAGATGAGGAAATAAGAAACAGCAAAAATATAAGGTGAAATGGTAATGATTTTACTTAGTTTCCTCATTTAAATAGCTGCAAGCACTTTTGAACAATTGTTTTGCAAATGATTAACTACCTTGACTAAATACCATCCTCTAAATCAGAGACTTTCAATGGGTGCATCACAAGAATTTTTTAAACATGCAATACCTGACTATTTCGTAAGGGGCATTGTTTTGTTTGTTTTTTGTCAGATCAGCAAAAAATATATTTTTTGGTGTGTCGCAGAATTTTAGTGATCAGTTTATGTGTGCAATGAAATGAAAACGGTTGAAAAATCACTGCTTTAAATTATGGTTAAAATATTACTTTCATTGAAAGAACTGCAGTACCTTTGATTTTATGTATAGTGTCTTCTTTTTCTTCCTCCACCCCTCTATAACAATTGAAATTTGGCCAGGATATCTATGAACTAAATGTTGGATTAAAGGTATTTGTTAAAGATAGTTTTGCTTCTTTGTGAAAATGGGAGAAATGGGAACAGTTTAAGATGAAATGGCATTAGAAGAGTTGGGTTAGTTTGGTGAACAGAAAGCTGGGAGTAGAGTTGAATTCCTGGCACTGCTTTCTTAGCAAAGAGAACAATTTTAATCAGTTACAAAAATATTTGTGATCCATATGTTACTCTCTGCTCATTCCCATATGCCCATATTCACTTTTATCCTGGTAGATGATGACTTTATGATTCAGGCATGCAAGAATAATACCTCGCTGGCTTCAGAGCTCAGTGCTATTTCAAAACGTGTCCTGGTAATTACGCACACACATACCAGTATATCCAGGCTGTTCACGCCTTGAGTTGGTTTCAGTGGATATCAGTTTGTTCTGTTTCTTCATGGGAAGAAGTATATCTTGCATCCACCTACTGGGACTGGAATCATGCGACTAGGTTTAGATTTGAAAAACGCACTGCCATTCACCTGTTGGATTAAAGGCCACTGTTCAAATATGAGCATCAGAGAAAGGAGGCAAAAGGTGATGTTGATTGTGGATCACTTCATTTTCTTTGGGAAATGGAAACAGAATTAAAAAAAACATGTGGTGTCTATTCCAAGACAATTGATAATGGCTGGTTACTTAAACAGATTCTGATTTTAAGCCATGTTGACTACTATTTAATTTGAGTGTTAGTCAAAGTAGCCATGGTGAAGCTGATCAAATTGAAAAATTAAAATGACTGTTGATGAACGAATCATTTTTGTCCTAAATGAATGTTCGCTTCTCTCTCAAGAAGCTGTATAATTTCTAACCAAAAAAAGAAACATTATTTCAAAGCCAAATTATCCGTTTTAATGAAACACGCATAAAGCTAGAAATGATTGCCTGTAGAAGCGATTGCATTTTCAAAAGTTGTTTTTCTCTTGCACAACAAATGGCGTTGTAACCCAATATGTTGTTAACATAGCCGCAGTGAAATCCAGTGAGGAACCACCTGTGCTCATCTGAACTTGGGAGGCGAGGGACCAGGGAGGGAGGCAAGAGGGTTTCTGGACTTCAGATTAACTAGTGGAGATGCAGTTATTGTTCTCGAAGATGGATATACGATGGGAGAGGCGTGCATGCTGTTGGAATTAGCAGGTATGCAGCAGAGTGGAATTGCAGCGAAAGGCAGGCGGCAGAGACAGCCTGGTTTTGGCAAGTGTTCTGAGGGCTCCGTCTCTCTGTTTGCATTCACGCCGTCTTTGCCTGGGCTCCTGTAGGAGTGATGAGAAAAAGAAAGCGCACGTGAGTTCGAGCATGGGTAGTGTTCAACAGGCTCAGAGTCTGCAAATCTGTGGACTCCCTCTGACAGCGTGTCTTTGCTGTCAAACAGAATGCCCAGCTGGCGGCGGCAGTCCTGCTGGGGAGGGAGGGGTCCGCAGAGGCTGCATTTGCCCTGCAACAGGCATATCAGGGATGCCTCTTCCCAAACTGCAAGCGGAGAGAGCTCTCTCTGCCCGTGCCCTGGGGAGGGTGCTCTTGGTCCTTCACCGGATAGAGAATGCCTCCGCAGAATCGAAATCTTTGCCTGCACTCCACTGGGAAAACTTTCATAAAGGAAGGAGTCCCAGAACCAACAGTGAGGGAAAGGATCGGGATCTGTAATGAAGACCAAGGTTTGGCTTTCAAAGAGGAGGCAAGACTTTTGCTCACAGGTGATCTGGATTCTCATTGAGGCGAACACACGCGCTTGAGTGGCCTTTTTTCTGTTGTTGTTTTAATATAAAGTGAGAGATTTCACTAAAAAAGGTTAAAATTGAAGTGAGTAATCTTCAGTGCATAATGCAATTGTTAATTTTAGCTCCTTGCGTGGGTGCCGCGCTGACTTGAACAGCCGGCTGGAGCCTTCATTAGAGGAGAAGCAGGCAGCTTGAGACAGGTGGAGCTGGAGCAAGCTGTGAACGGGATTGCGCTGGGAGCCGGTCATTAGTGTTAGGACCCGGGTCCTGTCCCTCTCGCCCTTCACCCTGCCATGCTCACTGCCATTCTCGGCACTGACTTTCCATCTCTTTTCAGGTTGACGATGTGTCACACTGTGTGAGGGAGTCGCATGGCCATGGGCCTTCCGCACTGTTAATGGGGACATGGGACTCCGCTTGCCTCTGATCTGCGTGGATTTTCCCGGTGCAGAAAGACAGAAGCCACTAGTGAAGTCACCGAGACCTACAGCAGGAATTCTGTGCCAAAGGTAAGAAGTCTTGTCGTTTGGCTGTCATCTCGGATTTACTAAGTCGTTCGTTTGGCTGTCATCTCACCTGTGGGTTTTGTGTGTGTGTGTGTGTGTGTGTGTGTGTGTGTTTTATTATTGTTACATAAATGCGCCTGTTTGCATTGCACAGTTCACACAATGTAAACAGAACTGACAGGGATCTGTATTAGGGACTCAACTGGCTTCTCGTTTGTGAAATTGAACCCAACGTGTTCATTCCATTTTCCATGTGAAATCTGATCACGCTCTGATTTTTATTGAAAAGCTCTGAAAGAAAGTTAGGGCAACAGAAGTCCCATCTCCTCCCCCTCCCCCGTACACTGAGAAACAAGCTGTTTGCCGTCGGGAAACAGAACTTTTTCTTTTGTCAACTACATGCATACCCAGTTTCAAGGAAAGAAGAGAAGTCAGTCACAGGGCACTGGAGGGGACAGCCCACAACCTCCCCGGACCCAAAAGCATGCCTCACGAGTCACTCACAGACCCAAACCACCTGCCTTTAGGAGACTGGGTCCCCTTTTCATTCCCACAATCCTTTGCCAAAGGAGCCAGTGTTTTTTAAGGATATCATTAGCTACCATCTGTCCAGTCATGGTGGCTCTTAGCAAATTTGCAACAGAAATTGCCGTGGTTTCGCTGTTTCTCATATTTCCTATAGCCTGCCGGAAATCAAGATACTGAATTAGCAAATGGTAATTAAACACTCCCCAGGAAATGTATCCAAACACGGATTTGTCCAATACTAATTACCATTGTCCCCACTGGGAACAGAACCGGCATTGCTGTGGAATGTTTGTGAAAAAAAGCTGACTTTCTAGGCTACAGTGTCTTTTTCTCTCCTTTTCTTTTTCCTTTCTCCTTCCCGTTCTCTCTCTCTCTTTCTCTCTCTTTCTCCCTCTCCCTCTCTCCCTCTCTCTTTCCTCCTTTATTTTGCTCACATCTTAAAAAAAAGAAACCAAGGAGAAAGTCAGTGCTAAATTATTCATGAGCCTCTTCTGACCGCAGCCCATCAGAAAGGGAAGTGTCAGGCAGGGGTCAGAGAAAAAGAAAGAAATCACAAACAGGCTTGAACTTGGACAAGCCATCTCCAGAGCCTGGTCCGGCGCCGTGGTCCATTGTGAGCCTGGAGCAGCAGCGTGCAGGGCCAGAGCTGCTGCCAGAGACTCCTTTCCCCGGGCTCTGGGCAGAGGGCTCAGGCACCAGCTGGGCAGAGGGCTCATGCTTTGAATCAAGTCGCTGTCAGTTTGTAGCCAGTTTTTTTCTGGCCCTGAAAGGTCTATTGTCCAGCCTAGGTCCTATGTTTATACTGAATGGTTGCCTCTTAAATTGATGTTTGCCCCTCGAGTGCACCGGTTCCTTAACCCTAGAAAAGTGTGTCTACGGTGAAAACTTGCAAATCATTTTTGAGTCATCCTGAAGGCGCCGCCGAACACCAGTACCACCTCCTGACTCAGAAGCGCAGGGCGATATCCGTGCAACAGTTGGAGAAAGACTCTTTCTCTTTTCCTTCTGCTTTGTAGTGGGTCCCGGGGACTGTGAGTGGCCTGCCAGTATGTGTCTCTGTTGGTTTGCTTACCCGTTTTGATGGCAAGGGGCATCCACCAGGGCATGTGTTGGTGGGTGGGGGTGTGGAGAGGGCAACCAATTCTGCCTCCCGTGTTTGCCTTGGGTGCCGGGTGGCATCTTGCTTCAGTCTCCTTTTTTGTATAAAAGTGGCAGGGTTGCCCGAGCTGCGCATTTGAATGAGGATGTGAAGGGAGGAATGAAATATCTCAAAAATATCAGGGAATACTGCACCCGGCTCTAACCGGATTTTCTGACCCCCTGACCTTGCAGGCCATCAAAGCTTGCTATTTTCATTTGCGTCTGAGAGGATGTCTGAGCCAGGGGACCTGAGTCAGGCCATCGCGGAGGAAGGCGGGCCGGAGCAGGAAAGGACCACTCCGGAGAACGGCATCGTCAAGTCGGAGAGCCTGGATGAGGAGGAGAAGCTGGAACTGCAGGTAAGGGGGGGAAACCGTTTCCCAGGCCATGGTGTACAGCTCCTGCTCTTCCTTGTTAGACTGCAGTGAAGGTTTGCTTTCTTCTTTTCTACAAAAGAGCTTGACTAGGAGAATGGCTAGGAGATCCATCAGGCTATCCTCTCCCTTCCCAATTATCGGTCAGTCATTTTGCCCCTGACTAAATGGTGCTCAGAATGGCCCAGCGACTGAATTTGCACACAGCACCACCGTCCTAATGTCCAGACCACCTCAAGGCGTTTGGGGGAGGCTTCTCCCCAGGCAGCTTTAGGCGAGCTGAGTTTTTTAAAATGGATTTGCTATTCGGTGGGAAGATGAAGACTCAGCTCACGATAGACTAGGAAAAATCAAAGATGTGAGCTCTGCTGACCGTCACAGGCGGGCTCAGGTTAGATTCTTATGAACGAGCAAACCCAAGTCCTAGAATTCCCAGCCAGAGGTGGAGAGATAGAGAGATGGATGGACAGATAGAGAACTATAAGAGGGGTAGAAATGGAAATGAAGGTGACTGAAATCCTGAGAAGGTGACATGATTAAATACATCCTGAGTTATGAGGGGGGAAAAGGTTCCGTAGAGAAAAAAACAAACTGTACTCGCAAACAGCTTGTATAGATTTCCTTTGAACGAACCTACCAACGTGTTAACTCTTTGTATTTACCAGCAAGCCAAGGCAGATAACCACATAATGGCCCAAAGCTTCAAGGCCAGCCTTTCTTCTCTCTAATAGCTGCCAAACCAGAGAGCAGAAAGCTCAGTGGTCAGAAGTTTGGGGAGCTAGAAAAGGAGGTGTCCTCTCAGTGCCTACAGTGCCGTTGTGGCTCTCACTGTTGATTTCTCCACTGTAGTGACACCTTTTTTTGCTCCTCTCTCTCTCTCTTTATCTCCCCCCCGCCATCTCTCTCTCTCATTGTTCATTTACGGTTTGTTTGTTTTTATTTTGCTTTATTTCTAACACACAGAGGCGGCTGGCAGCTCAGAACCAAGAAAGAAGAAAGTCCAAGGTAGGGTCCTGGGGATGCTACATAGACCTGGTGGCATGGGTATCAGTTGCATATTTGACACCCGAGTTAACGGGTTTGCTGACAATTCAGAGGGCTGTGTGGAGGGATTGTGGTAGATTTGGGCTGTGCCGGTGCTGTCTGCTTTCAGCGGGGTCATGTTCACATCTCCCTTCCTTTCTTGCTCTGGGTGCTTTTCCATGAGAGCATTTAGGGTTCCCAAAGCTGCAGTGTACCCATTTGGTCCCCAGTTCACACCTGCAGGTTTGACATGCTTTGCAAAGCAAACAGCTGCTTGTTTTGTTTTCAGTGGAAGGAAAATTCGGGGTGAATGTTTCAGCCTCCCAACTGCTTTCCGTCTGGAAGCAGACAGGGGCTGGTGTCTAGGACACGTTTGTCATCTCTGTTAAGCATCTCAGTTAAGTCACCTCCCAGCTTCGTTTCAGTAGACTATTTTCTGTCACCTTTATCTTCTGGCATTTCCATGAAATGGCAGCGATTCATCCCTCCTGTGTTTCCAATGTGGTGGGCACAGTTGGCTGGAGGAATTCCTTAAATCCATCCATTCACGTCTTCCCTCACCTCTGTGCCCATCACCCCCGGGGTCTGATGCTTTGAGCCAACGTAGACAGCGCTGAGCAGTCTGTTAAGAACCAAGATCTGGTTTGCGATGGTCATGTGAAGGTGGAGATGATTTGGCGGCCTGAGAATGTTCTGTGTGTGTTTTCTTTATTTTCTCCTCCACCCCTTCTTCTCTCCCCTTCCCAGTCAGGAGCAGGGAAAGGAAAACTGACCCGCAGTCTTGCTGTCTGTGAAGAATCCTCAGCCAGACCCGCAGGGGAAAGTCTCCAAGATCAGGTATACCCCCCGTTACTATGGTTACTTGCACGAACGGGACCCACCTCTGTGTGCATGGGTATGAATTTGGCATTAGACAGTGTTTTGGGGGCGAAGGAGCATCATTTGAAGAACAAAAGTGTTTCTCTGGCTTCATCCCCTGTGTATGAGACGTTTGAAACTAGTGTCAAGGTTTGTCACAGAGTATTATTACGTTTGTTTGTTTTCCAGACCCTCTGAAAACTGCAAATGGAAAGGAATGCAAAAGAATTTAGATTAAAACTTAAAAAGTAAGCCCGGTAGGGCTGGGTTTCCTCAAAGGCTCTCTCTTGATAAGACTGAACCAAATGCAGACCTAAGTGTCCCATCTCCTTCCCTACGGGATAGTCTTACCTCTCACCTCCCCCCAATGCATTTGCCTATAAGAAACACACCCTTGGCTAATCAAACGTTAGAAATAGAGAAAAAGGTGCACTGAACTTTGGAGAAGTACCTTTATGGCTGTTAGTGGAGATGTCTCAATACTGGAAAAACGATTCAGAAAGGAATCTGAGCTGGTGGTGAATTTAAGTTAATGTTAGAGACATGTATTGCTGCATAGCCTCACGGTGAGCGTTGCGAACTTACAGCAAGGCTACTAGGCTCTAAAAATTCAACTTCCAGCAAAACCCTTTTGTGACAAAAACGGGCAACTTCACCTCACCTTGATTTTGGTTTGCCTTGCAGGCATCGTATTAGCTTTTATTAAAATAGTCTTGCTGCTGATATTTCCCTTATTTTATCAGAGGCTGAGAGCAGTCAAGACAAAAGTGAAATGATTTATCTGAGCCCAGGGGAGGGAACATTGACTTAAGATATCATTATTTTTGTTTGGTCTTGTTTTGCTTTTCTCTTTGTACTTTAATTGAAATACTCTACATTCTCCTCATGGTCACAGAGAGCATTGAGAGCACTTTCTTTAAAAGGACCAAAAAGAAAACCCTTCTAGATTTTGTCCTGAGAGTCCTTTTTTTCCCCCAGCCGCATTTTCTCAACATGCCACTCCTGTCGTGGGGCATGAGCAGGCTGCCTTTCAGTGGCCATCGAGATGTTTCGTCCACAAGCTTTCTTTTCCTTGGGTTCTGAGAAACGTGTGGCTTTCCTTCAGCATTTTATTTGTGCTTCTATTTTTACTGGAGATTGAAAAGGGGGAATCATGTGACTATCCCGGCTTGTATTATTCAATGTTGATTGACGGCTTGTAATGTACTGCACACGCCACGTGTTAACTCTGCAGAAAGACAGACTCCGGGAGAAGGGCTGTCCCCGTTGTCCCCCTACTCCGATGCAGGGCAGAGGAGGACAGCCTTTAGAGATGTAATCTGACTTTTATCCCATTTGGCAAGGTACCAGGAGGAAAATTTTTTTTTAAATATATTTTTATTGATTTCACAGAGGAAGGGAGAGGGAGACAGAAATAGAAACATCAGTGATGAGAGAGAATCATTGATCAGCTGCCTCTTGCACACCCCACACTGGGGATTGAGCCCACAACCCGGGCATGTGCCCTGACCAGGAATTGAACCGTGACCTCCTGGTTCATAGGTCAATGCTCAACCACTGAGCTACACTGGCCAGGCAGGAGGAAATTTTTTAAGAGAGCATCTGTATCCTAGTGCCCGTCCTAGACCTAAGTCTAGTTTCTCCATACAATTGGTGCAGAGAAATAAGATGCAAATGGTGCTTTGTTCCCACTGGTTCCAAGCTCAGTAACCAAGACTAGGCGAGAAGTAGAGCTTGCAAGCTTCTCTTTGGACTGGCTGAGGGGTGGTGGGAGCAGGGAGATGCCAGACAGTACCCAGACACACATGTAAGCAAGTGGCCGTGCTAGACTTCTAGAGAATGAAGAAGCAGACCTTTGAGCTTTATATGCAATGCCTTCATTAGCTACCACCGGCACTTACAAAGTATGGGATCTGCATCCCAGAGGACACTGGCAGACGTATACAGCGTATGCATTGTATTGCTTCCCCTATTTGTATATTTCACAGTATTTGGAAAACTGCCTTCATTTTCCTGCGTGGGAAAAAATCTTGCTACCTGTACTACTTGATCTCAGACCCATAGTTGATGGTTCAGTCTGTCCTTCAGTTAAAGGAGTTCTGCTTTTCTAATGTTATCCTCTTTATCGGTGTATTACTGCAACTTGAATCATTCTTCTCCTGTTGTTGGACATATACTTATCCTGTACTGATGTATTTATTAACACCTGTATTTTATTATTGAGCATATCAATAAAAATATTAAAAAATAACAGATTGTTTTTTACCAACTCTACAGCACTTTTGTGTGTTCTTTCAACACCATAATGTATGTGTTTGTATAGAACAGATAGGTGTTTTTCTGAGTAAAGTATTAGTCCACACATGGCATGCGTTTGTCCATTTTTTGGTAAGTAATGTCCGTTAGCCTCTGCTCTTACATGAGTATTTCTAAGCCTCTCTGATTTAAGACTTAAACGTATGGAGGCTGGAAGGTTCAGTTGGTTTTGAAGAAGCAATGAGACCACTTTCATGGCCTGGTACCCTCAGTTTCCCACCTAATCAGCTGTCACATTGATTTTCTTCCCCACCCCCTTCCTGTCTTCGGAACCAGGCATGTTCCAGCTGCTGTCTTAGCAAGTAGAAACAAATCATAACCCTAAAATCTGCCTGAAGCGTTGTGGACTAAGACATTTCGGTCTCAAATCAAGTGATAAAACACTCTGTTTTACATATTTCTTACATGTTCATCTCCAGAATAAATATTTGAATGTCAGGACATCAGCTCAGATAACTATGTATCATGAGACTGTATTCTGTTTCATCTTCTGTATCACATGTCTTTCCAGTCTTGGTGACTTCTTATTCCAGCTATGAATTCACAATGGAGCCCCTGCTCCAAAAGAAAATTGGCTTTGGAGGGCTTTGATTTTATGCTTGTTTGATCAGACAAGTGAACCAAGAACCAGTAAGAATCCCAGATTGGCCATAATTTGAGGATGTACAACACCCATTTAGTCACATGTAGATGAGCACTAGTTTAGTTTTCCGTGAAAAACACTATTAGTCACTGGGAATATTTTTTCCCCTACATCATAAATTTTAATGTCACTAGTGAAAGAAAGCTTTCCCAGCAAATGATCTCTTACATAAGAACATGTGGGCTTAATGTTGACTAATTTGTCATCGTTTCAATCATAGCATAGGATTGTCATAAAACTAAAAAACATAATTTGGCTCATTCTTCTTCAAAACAGTGAACATACCATCAACCAAATGGCTGACATACAAGTTAATACAAAATGCTTCATTTTCAGTGCAAAATAAATAAATACAGAAGTGGATTCAGCGCAAATACTATACATGGTCAATCTTATACCAAGCAATAGTCCAAGAGAATCTTACATTTTGGAAAGGATTAACTGATGCTAAAACTAAACTCATATTAAATATTTATATATAATTGAATGAAAATATAATTCTAGTTTCTACCCTTTCTAAAAGGCGATGCTTATTGTAACTATACATTATGATGACTTATTAGGGGCATTTGTAAACCATGCATGTATGACAATAATGCATACCTAGTATTCCTGCAATGATATAGCTTGTTTTTTCTGAATAGTAAAAAAATCATTGTTGATACAGTGGTAAAGTAGACTTTTTCTTGTAAATTGGCTGGTAGGGCGTTTATTTATGTCTGTTCTATGTGTAATGATGATTCGTAACATCTGTCTGTTTGTATTTGTGCCAGTTCCTCCTTACAAGAGCTCATAGGAAAGAACTATGGAAGCCACGCCATGTTTGAGACATGGCCGTGGCTGAGATGCAAGCTGACTGATAAAGAACTGTTTCCTAGGTGCTTACCAGTAAACGTGTAGAGGAAACAAGAGTTGTGATCTACAGGAACATAACTTGCTTAAGGTTAACCATCGGGAGCCAAAGTTTTAGTGCGAGATGTTTCTCCTGACCTGCCACTGACTCCTGAACTTTAATTCACCTGCAAGGGCAATTATTTTTCTGACAGGTTGAATATTTTACCATTTAAGAAAAAAAAAACAACACTGCTCCTGGCTTTCATTTGCCTGTACGTGATAAGCTCTATGCAGAATGGAAGCCAGACAGAAATGATTAAATCTGGCCCTAAATTATTATATTTTTTCCCCCAACAGGAATCAATTCATTTACAGCTTTCCAGTTTCCCCAGCCTGCAAGAGGAGGATAAATCTAGGAAAGATGACCCTGAAAGAGAAAAAGAAAAGGATAAAAACAAAGATAAATCCTCTGAAAAACCCAAGATCAGAATGTTATCAAAAGGTGAATGTGAAAGTTTTCTTAACTTACTCAATTTAGAAAAATGAAGAATCATAGAATAATTCTAGATTTTACATGCATATTCACCTCCCACCAAACTCCGTATTTAATTGTGAGTGTGTGTGTGTGTGTGTGTGTGTGTGTGTGTGTATAAAAGATGTGAACTTGATTTTTTTTCCCCCTGTTCATGGTGTCATTATTTGTGTAGCCTAAAAGGTTATTTTTAGGATCACATTTTTTGGGATTTTCATTGGGACCTCCTATTTTCAAAGATAAATTTGTAGGAACAATGAATATAAATTTGCTCTTGTTTCAGGTTTATTAGTCCCATTAATTTAGATAGATGAACAGCAATGGTACCCAGTTTTATATCTTAACTTTCATGTTTATCTTTAAGGACAGATAGTGGATTAGCAATTCTCAGTCCACAAGTGATATCCTTTCCAAAGCACAGATGTATGTATCCATGTCAATGAAATACACACTTAACATTTTACCTGCCGCAGATGAACTTGGTTTGTGCAACCCATATACTGCTACATAATATCTCACTTAAAATATACACACTTCTACTTCAATAAAGTTTTTCCCCAAAAAAGTCAGTCCTTCTAAATCTGCAATCCTACAATTCAGACTTTTCAAATTGTTGCCATACATAGAATTGTACAAAACTAAAAGAAAACAAAAGTAAAAACAAATTTAAATTAAGTTGAACAATGCCACAAATAGCTTCGCAGCAGACTGAGAAAGTATAGGGTATTCGATCAGCTGAGGAATAGCAACTACTTCTAACATTATGCTCTATAACCATTATCTGCTTATAGTCCCTGCTGAATATCTAAAATTCAAGGTGTATGCAAGAGTAAAGAAATACAGCAACCTAAAATGGTTTTATAAATTAAGCTTTAGCTAGAATCAAAAGATTTGGAAGACTTAGAAATATTTACTATCCTGCTGCATTTTGTATTGATTAATATTTAGATAGTCTTAGGGTTTTCGTTTTCTTTTTTTTTTTTTTTGCCTTCTCTGTTTTAAGAGTAAGAGGGTTCCTTGAGGTCTCCAACTCCAGAGCTCTCTCTGTGGGTTGAGAGTACCTGTCACGTGGAGGTCATGACCTTGCGGATTTTAAGCTCAGAAGGAACCCATGATAATTGACTCCGCCCACCACCCACCCAGAAGGTGCCTCCATGATGGTTGAGTCTGCCACACTCAGGATCTATCGGGTGTTCTCAATCCCTGAATCTAATTTTTATCCTGATGTTACTGGTAGACTGTCAGACTGCTCAATTTGAAAGATGTATCTTTCATATCAATAGCTTCATTTAAAGTTTACCTGAGCAGGAGGGAAACGGGAAAGGTTGGGAAAACCTTTTAACTCCCCCACCCCCATCCCTCACTCCAACTACCTCCACCCTCATTCCTGACAACTCCATCATGCTGTTTGTTTCAGATTGCAGCCAAGAATACACGGATTCTACAGGCATAGACTTACATGAGTTTCTGATTAACACGCTAAAGAATAATTCCAGGTAAATTCTTAAACAAACCTCTTATTTTTAGAAGACTCAAGTGGAATATTATAGTTGAACTCTTGATCCAAGTACTTCTAAGAGGGGAGTTGGAAAGTATAGACACCTTCTCTGATGTCTTAAACCCTCTCCTGGATTTGTATGTTTACTATTGATAGAGAGTCTTAATTCCTGGGTGAATAAGTTCTAGTTTACAAATTCTGCTTTCCTGGTCACAAAGAGATACGGGTTAAGGGAAAAAATAGAGGGGGAAAATCAATATCAAATAAACCAATTATGCTTCAATGCAGTTATATAACCACCTGCTTGGGCGTTGCTTTGTTCTAGTTTCCAATTATTTTAAAATATACAATTTATTTGATGTGCTTTATGGGCCTAATACCTTGCATATTCTAATTAACATGAAAGCTGCAAATGTGTCGATTATTACAAAATATTTCACCAGTGAGTTTAGAAATAATCTTAAGAGGAATGAAACCATATGTATTGGATAGCATATTCAAAAGAAGAGTTAGATAAGGGTTTGGAGCCACAATCTATTTCATGCATCCAAATGAACTTTTTGAGTCTTTCTTTGGCAATGGAAAGTACATTAAAAACTACATTTCACATTTATTTTGCAGGGATAGGATGATACTCTTGAAAATGGAGCAGGAGATTATTGATTTCATCAGTGACAACAAGTATGTTAAATGGCAGTTCTGGCTAATTTGTAAAATGTATCTTAATTTGGTCTTTGGGTTGAATTAGTCACTCTGGAAAGGTTTAGGGATGGATAAAACATTTAATATGTTTGCTGATGTGTTAAGTGGAGATTCGATTGGAGCTCTATGCTAATGGGAATTGTTGCTTGGACCATGTGTGCTCCTGCTTGTTAAATTCCTGACAAAATGACTATAAACCGGGGCCCACTGATTAGCATAGAGTAGCTGTAACAAGAAGCGACCCTTTTCATTTTTATGATAGTTTTTTAATGGGCTCCAGCTGGCTGCAGTCAGTTATGCCTGGAAATAATTGTGCCGCTGTCACTGTAAACCATGTAATGACACCTCTCCAGCGAGGCGTCTGCACTCCCATAGTATGTCGTATCGTTTGTCCTGTGCCTGGCTCCGGCGATAAGGTATCCTGGACTAAAACAGAGCCCTTTCCAAACAGACACTGCGTTCTCCTTGGTGAGAGAAATGTGCAACTAGGAAACAAAGATATTTATTGTCGCCTAATCGATGCATCTGTAATAAGTGGACAATTTGTCTCAAAATGGGAACATGAAGTGATGCCAGAGATGAAGCGGTTTGGATGAGAGAGCAATGGTTGTGTGTGTGTACCTGTGAAATGTACTTCGGGCCAGAAACAAAAACGCTGATCCCACTTTGTCTCGGTCCTCTCTTTCAGTAACCATTACAAAAAGTTCCCTCAGATGTCCTCCTATCAGAGGATGCTCGTCCATCGTGTGGCCGCTTACTTCGGGTTGGACCACAATGTGGACCAGACAGGGAAATCCGTCATCATCAATAAGACCAGCAGCACGAGAATGTAAGCCCCTTCGCCGCCTTTAGTTAGCATTTCCCTCTTCTCGTCTGTGTTCGTTTGTAAGAGCACAGTGTAAAATTCGAAGTACGTGACATTTAAAATGCACGGTGTTCTTTATCGCTCGCTCTTATCGGCAGCCGTGTGGCATTTATCTGGGGAGGATGATCGGAGGACCAGGGAAGTTTATAAAATTCAGGCGATGAAGTGGATTTATTCCCTGGTCTCTAACAGAGCTCCTGAAACAGATTTTCTTTCCTTCCATCAGTACCCCTTGCGATTATAAACAAAACCGTGACACGTTTTACGGCAAAACGTAACTCAAGTTAAAAATCACAGGCATTTTAAAACAACAGTGACATGTGCAGGGTAATTGTCCTTTTATTTCTTTTTGCGGCTTCTCAAGTAGAAAAGGCAGCAAACCTGGAGGTAGAACTCCTGCCTCTAAGACCCTGTTCTTTACTGACTGGCTGTGTGGCCTGAACCGCGTCATTTAAAATCTGCCAGCTCAGTGTCTGTCCCTTGCAAAATGACAGTTTTGAGCCAGATGATGCCTAAGTTCTAGCTTTAAAAAGAGGATAGTTTTTTTTGTTTGTTTCTTTATTTCCTTCAAAACAGTGTTTGCTTCTATCTTACTATCTTTCCACGGTCCCACCAGAAGCATAAGATGAGTAGTTATTTGCTTTGGACATTTGGAGCTGTCTTTTTCTTGAACTCGTGTCTCTTTTGAGTACAGAGCAAGTCACTTTTATAAGCCAAATACATATGAAATGGAAAGCTGTCCTAAGTAAAGCATTCTCTTAGAACGTGTGTGTTATCATTTCATTTTTTTTTTTACACTGTGCTTGGTAAATGGTGTGCATTGCATAGTTTTTAGGAATGCTGTGTCACTGAAGTGAAATTTTGTGTCAAGCAAAGAAACACGGTTAAAACACTTTCTTTTCTGATCACCAGATATTGGGACAGGAAGGGATGGAGATGAGGCTCTTTCTCGACTCCAGGCCCAGTCTGTGCTCAGCAGAACTAGAGTGAAGGTCACAGTGGAGAAGCACAAACTGGGAGATCAGAGGCTGAGCTTGGCTCTTATCTCAGGGACACTGAGCACTTCTCTGGGCTTAAATTACTCATCTGCAGGAGAGTTGGAAGTGGAGAATATTTAAGAGCCCTTGAAGCTTCAGAATTATCGGGTCTTGTGGTTGTGTTCTACTTTGCTGGCAAAATACATTTTAGCGTTTATCAGCTTTCCACTTTGATTGTTGGCACACGTGCCTCCTGTTTTGAACAGTTGTAGAAAGGGAAAGGTCACTGTCCTTTAATCCTTCACATCTTTCCTCTCCATCAGATACTCCGAGTTCTTGCTATTGTTGTTGCTTTTAATTCTCCATTCTGTATTGTTTTTGTGACTTTCAGATGCCACACAGTGATTGCAAAGTAGGCAAGCAAGGAACTATTTCATTTTCGTTTGTTTTTCTCCTCTTTCTCTAAAAGCCCATAACAGAAAAGCCCATAGGTCAACTAGACTGTTTGATATAGTTTCCACCAATACTGATAGTGCATTTATTTTTTCATGCACACTCATTTTGCAATCACACAGTCATGAATATTAGTAGCCATGTTTGAGATCTGTTCTCTTGTAGAATTTGCTGCTTTCTGGTTGATCATGAATGGAGATTTTGAGGTGACATTCGCCATATTGTGTTTTTCAACCTTTAGTTCTAGCTCTCTTTCCCCAGTATATTGCCAGAAATAGGTTTCACTCTCTAGCACTTTGAAATGCTTTCGATTGGAATTCTTTGTTAACTGTCAGATTAAGTGTCAACACCAAATGAGCCTCTTGGAAATCTGGGGCGGAGGTATTAGGCTCTGAGCTATTTTGGTACTGCAAACAGTGTTTATAATGCATATACTCTCTATAATGTTGCTTTTTTGACATTCAAGATTGAGGCTAAAAAATGTGAACAGTGGTTTTATAAATACTATTTAAATGCTACAAATAGAAGAGTCTGCTTTTATATGAGATGTTTTACCCTTCTCTTTGTCTCTCTTCCTTGATCGACACTTTCTCTGGCTTATTTTTTTTATGTTTTTAAGCCCAGAACAGCTCATGGATCATTTATTAAATAATTTTTTCACTCCCTTTCCTTTTCTTCAATCTAGAGAAAGGATTCATGTCCAGGGTATATCTTTTGGAGACTAAAAACCATCTACTTGCACTAGTGCTTTCCAAAGGGCCAATATCAGTCAAGGGCAAAACCTCACATGCATCGGAATGTTTCTGCATATGTCAGAGTAACTGTCTAACTAGTCCCGGATAATTTGTATGTTAAAAGGTTGTCATCTCTTGAATATTCTTTCTTTTGTCTTTCACATCCACCCACTGTCATTGCCTTAAATCCCCTACTCTAAAAGGACACAGCAAGAAAGGAAAGAGCAAATCCACTGAAGGACAGTGGTTGCAGGTCCCAGACACCCTGAAACAAGAAGAGTGGTCTAAAGGCAGAGGTTTGGGGGGCACCAACAGAGTCTAGTGCTCAAAAACTCAATGCCCTGATTCCTAAGAAGTGCAGACCTAGGTATTTGATGGGTGATCTTAGTGACTTTAGTACTTTGCTTGCTTGTTTGTTCCAGGACAGATGGTCAGCTGAGCTGGTTATTAGGTGGATCAGAAGAACCATAAAACTTGTTCTAGCACCAAGTAAAGCTTTTCTCTAGGTGAAGCAGTTGAGCCCAGGTGATTTTGTTAAGAATCTTGAAGTGACAGATGGTTATTGCACTAGGAGGTAGGATTGTGGGATCTCCCACCTTCTCAGTGGGCCGATACAGAGAGGGGTGGACAGCAGTGCATCAGGGACAGCAGTGCATCAGAATCTATGGACATCAGTTCTGCTTCATATCGGAAGAGGCAAAGGCTTAAAATGGGAATCTTTAGTCTTTGACCCCCTAGCCAGTGGTCAGCAAACTGTGGCTCGCGAGCCACATGCGGCTCTTTGGCCCCTTGAGTGTGGCTCTTCCACAAAATACCATGTGCGGACATGCACGTACAGTGCGATTGAAACTTCGTGGCCCATGCTTAGAAGTTGGTATTTTGTGGAAGAGCCACACTCAAGGGGCCAAAGAGCCGCATGTGGCTCGCAAGCCGCAGTTTGCCGACCACTGCCCTAGGCATTTCATTCCCTGAAAGTAATTGCATTTTTACCAAAACAAACAGAAAAAACACCGTACTTTCCTCTCACGTTTATTATATTTCTTCACCTTTGGCTGTGAATAAACAGAGTGGCAGCCTCATATGGACGCTGGCTTGACAGTCCTCTGAAGAAGACCAGGTACCTCTTGGACATCCATGAGTGGCTGATTGGCATCTTGTCGGTTCTAAACATGGAAATTTCCTCTGCGCTTTATATAGGAAGAACATTGAAAGTCATCTGACTTGAAGTCAAAGATCAGAAACCTAACTAAGAATTGCATTGCTCTCCAGAAAAACAATGAAGTTTTATTTACTGAACAACCTCGTATTTTAATCAATACTCAGGCTCAAAATAAGACATATGTTAACATTGGTCCAACTGCATATCATTTCTCTCAAATATTATATTTTCTCATATTATTATTCTCAAATATCTCAGAGACCATAAGGTTGTATAGATGAGATAGGTAAACCATGGAGATATAGTGAGGAGAGAAAATATGTTTGCTGTATTCCTTTCCCCACTTGAAATAATTTATGAGCCTTTGAGTGTCAGATGTGTGATTTCCCACTTAATTTTGGAAATGAAATATGCATGTGCCTTCTGTAACGTTAGTATTCTTACTATAACATTTTTTAAACAAAGTTTTCCCATGGAATAATGATACTTTTTAAATTTTTATTTTTTTTAATCTTACAACATTCGAGGTAGATAAAGCTGAACCATTTTACAGGAGCAAAAACTGAGATTCGTGTCTTGATCTTTCTTACCTACTCAATTCACAGAAGACCAAGACTAAAACCACTGCTCCTGGCCCTCAGCCATGACTCTTCTCCTAAGATTAGGAAAACAACAACAAATCTTAATAGAGTAAATACTCTGAAATGATAAGATCCCCAAACACTATTCTTTCACCAGTACCCATTTATTTCCTTACAACATCCTAATTTTCATTTAATTACTTTAAAAACTGAACAGAGAACTCAATTCAACAATGTTTATACTACGGTGATTGTTAAAACTATGACACCAACAAAACTTTGGGACCAAAGAACCCACAGGATTAAAAATTGTCCTGGCAGACTTGGAAGTGAGACAAAGCCCGTGTTCTTAAACCTTGTAAAAGCAAAAAGTCCTTCTCAGGTGTTCCATACGGGCTGCCAACAAAAGAAGCATAGACTATGAAACATGCCCATCTTGTTTATAGTTTATTTGAGAAACCAACATAATTTTGGTCAGGACTCTGTGTGTGTGTAAGTTTGTAAAAACATTATCTGTGTTTAGAAAAAGGTTCACTGTACATGTACATGCTATATATAGCATTGCCGTAAACATACAAGAGTAGTGGAGGGAGCGAGATGGCTGTGGGTTGGTTCTTCATCTACAGCTGTGCTTGTGTAGGCAGCAGAATGAGCCTCAGATCCTGAGAGCTTCCTTCATGGCTTCTAAGTCATAGGAATTGGCAGTCATTTCAGCACTTAGGAAAAGTTTTAGGACATACTTGTAGGTGAAAACATGGTTGTATACAATGAACAGCTGGTCTTGTGTCTTACTAATCTTAAGATTTCTGTTAGTGGAGAGAGGCCATTAGCATATTACCGTGGCCGTGGCCGTAGGAAGGAGATAATTAGGGCATAGAGTAGATTTTTTTTAAAAAGTTGTAGTTTATTGGTCAAAGGTGGTTGGTTTCCACTCAGTTGTGTACTTAAATGCTAGACTGTAATTATTGATACAGATCTTCAAACAATAAATTGGAATCTACCAAGAGAAGTGGATATCTACCTAATATGTTTTATGCCCCAACCAGACTCTTTCCAACTT